GGGGGGCTGCTCCCCACCTGCCCAGGGCACTGGGCCTCCAAAGGGCTGCTCTGCCCGTGCTGGCATTGCTCCTGGTTTGAAGGACACTTGACTGATTTAATTGCTCTGGAGCTTCTTGGTGTGGAATAAACAGAATTTGCAGCACTGATTCCTGTGAGGATGTGAAACCTGCTTAGGAAAAGCCCCAGTGACAATCCCTGTGGGCAGCTTTATCCTCCTCATCCCAGTCTACCTGTCCTGCATCTGGATCCGACCCTCAGGATGATCAGAGGCACAGTCCCACCCCGGCAGGGCTCTGTGAGTGGCTGCTCTCTCCCATGGCAGCAGGCAGGCTCAGGCAGGAGAGCACCAGGGCGGTCCCCGCACCAGGCTGTGAGCTCTGATTTGACTCCCAGACCTTTTCCACATGTCCATGTTTCTCTCTGCTAAAGCAGGGTCAGGAACCCCACGCTTGGATCCTGCAAAGCATCTGCTCCCTCTCCACTCCACCACCCTCGTCCTGTCTTCCTGTCTGAAAAATGGGGTTAGAAAGGTGCTCCCAGGATTTTTACAGACTCTTTTAGGACCAATGAGATTTTCCAGTAGTCAGCAGTTCCCATGGGCTGTTGATCATCCCCCCCAAAAAGATGATGGGATGCTGCTGCTGCTATTTTGGTCAGTCCAAACAACCCCTGATGTAGCATTTCCCTGCCAGCTCCAGGGTGATGCACCCAGGGAGGGCAAGGACAGATGGGAGAACATCCCTGGTGGGGGTCTGGGCTGCTGGGGAAGGTGATCTGAGCTAGGGTGCCCTGGAACCAGCAGTGAGGAGGATGCTCCAGAGCTCCTACAAGCGTCTGCCACTAAATTTAGCCATTGCCTGAGGGGGCTGAGGTCGGGAACCACGGGCTTGCTGTGATGGAGGGGAAGGTGGCCGAGCGCCCTGGCTGGGCTGGGACACACCAGGAGCAGCCCTGGCAGGAGCTCCAGCTCTGCTCAGCTGCTCCTGGACACCTCCATCCAGCAGAATGGGGGTGAGGGACCTGGGCTTCTGCTGCAGGAACCCAAAGCCTCTGATCATGCCCAGTGTGGGGTCTTTCCCTGGGACTGTGCCCACGGGAGGCTGTGCCCAGGGGGGCCTTTCCTCCCTGTGATGCTGTCGGTGCATCACACCCCACAACCTGCCTTAGGATCCAGGAACATTTTACAGCCAGGGTGCTCCTGGCATCTCCCCTGGAATCAGCTGGTGCAGCCTCAGCACTTCCTCTACCTCATTTTCCACTCTTAATTGCACAGTCACTGCAGGATGGAAAAAGGAGATATTTTATGGGGTGTCTGAGGGTGGAGACAGGGAATTTTGGCTCCTCTGAAGAGAGACAAAGAGCTGCATGGTTCAGAGCTGTGGTTCCCACCATGGGATCTTTGAGGCACTGACAGTGAGAGGGTGTCCAACCTCCCAGTGGAGCTGGAAGGGTCACGCTCCTGGACACAACTCTGGGAAAATCCCTGTAGGACACAGTAACGGTGGCCACCTTCTCCTGCCTCAAAGGCAGCTTCAAAATACCACTTCAGGCTTCAATCTTCTTGTCTTCACCAACAGTGGTGCCAATAAGGTCAGTCTGACCACCCCGACTTGCCTGTGGCTTTAATCCTCCCTCGTCGTGCACACAGTGACAGAGCTGTCCCTGCCGCCCACCCCCAGCATCTCGGTGCCGTTGAAGCTCCAAGATCTGAGAGCGTTGGCCCAGATGGGTCAAAGCAAATTAGCATCAGAGCAGCCCATTTCAGTGGAAAACCGTCTGACAGTCCAGAGCCCTGACGTGAGCCAGGCTGGCCCCTCGTCCCCACCCGCAGGTGCAGCGCAGGCTCCTCCTGACCCACATCCCTCCCTCCCTCCGTGACCCGGCCTGCTCCCCAAACACGTCACAGACAGATGTCACAGCCCATCCTGCCTCTTGTCAGGGTTTGGTGGGCACCGTGGTGTGGAGGTACCAGGAGCCACAGCCCCCGCTGTGCTGCTGACACCCTGGGATGCTCTCCCAGCAGTGATGAAGCTCTTGGCCTTTCTGCAGCTGATAAGTTCCCTGTGAAAGGGCTTTAATCATATTTCCCTGTTTTCTGTTCCAGGAGGCAGAGATAATGAGGGACAGGAGGGAAGCGGTGCCTGCAATCCCTGCAGCAGGAAAACAGGAGGAAAGGGAGGGGAGGAGCTCGCAGTGGGGTCCCATCCCTTGTCCCTGGGTTGGTGGGCACCCACCTGCCTGGGTGAGCCTGTCCAACCCCGGCTGGCACCCACTGTCCTGTGACCAAGTGCCTGCTCTGTCCTGGCTGAGCTGCTGCTGGAGCACAAGCCCTCATCCTCTGCAGGATTCCATTCCATTCAATTCCATGTCACCATTCCCCAAGCACCAGGAGGCACCAGGCTCTCCACTCCCTCTTTTATTAGTCCCGTGCAAGTGTAAATAATCATTTGGGCACCCAGAAGGAGCAAATTCCCAAGCAGCAGGGCTTGCTGTGATGCCCTGCCTGGGCGCCTGCAGCCTCCCTCTCCTCCCCATTCCCGCTTGGATTTGGCTGCAGCGCCTGGCACGTGGCCGTGCCCCCGGGAAGGGCAGCTCTGCTCCTCCTGCCATCTGCTCCCCTGGCTCTGTGGTGCCCGTCCCACCGCGTGGCATATGGCACTGGAGCTGCCCCTTTTTGGACAGGTAAGGAGCGATGATGCCACTCGGGGCCATGCTGGTGACTCCAGTGAAGGGTCCAGCTCCCTCCCTACCACAGAGACCCTGGGGGTTAAATCCCCTGGGAGAGGGGACCTGGCTGATGCTGGAGGAGGTGCAGAGGTGGCCAGAGCCCCTTGTCCCCAACCCAAAGCCCTCAGGGTCAGTTGGAGGGATCACAAGGCACAGGGAGCCCCACTCTGCCTTCTGTGGGCTCCAAGCCCAAAACCCAGGACCTGGCACCTATTGCAGAACTGCAGAGGAAGGTGTTTCACTCCCAGCTGGAAAACCCCAGCGGAGGAGCTCTGGATCCCCAGGGAAGATGTCCCATCCACAGGGACATGGTATCAGTGCCAAGTCACCAGCTCAGATCCCGGGGTGCATCTCTCCCAGAGGTACTTGGGAGGGTGTGATCTTCCCTCTCCGTTGTGCCAAGTGCAAGTGCTGTTTTTCCCCATTCTTGGAATTAGCACATTTTGATGGGGTTTATGGCCGTGGTAAATACACACACATGGAGCAAAGGAGCAGCGTGCCCTGGGTGAGGACGTGGAGTGATTGCAAGGCAGCAGAGGGGAAGGGGGGGATTCTTTTCTTCTCTCCATAATTACTGCAGGAAGGTGAACAGCAGGATGGGAAGGTTTCAGGGCAGTGCAGCTGTTCTAAGACATGTGTTTTACATCCTTTAGATAATTTTTGTAACAATTCCCCAGCATCCTGCTGGGATGCCCATCTCACCAACAGGGAAAATGGGAGCATGGTAAAGCTCAGCTCATTTTCCATGAGCACAGAGCAAGATTTGCCCTCTCCAAACATTGTTTAAAGATTGAGCCACGTTTATGGAGAACTGGGAGAGGGGTCCTGGTCCCAGTAGGAGCAAGGGCTCAAGGGGAGCAGCAGGCTCTTTTCCTGGAGTGAATCAGAGCATGGAATTGTACCCCTTGTCCATAATCCAGACCCACCACAAGCAGCACAGACGAAGAACCCCCTGCTGCAGCCAGCCCTGCTCTCCAGGGAATTACAGGAGGGATAAATGAATGAATGCTGTGTACTTAAGCAAGCAGGGGCTGTATGGGAAGGGCCTGGTGCAGCTGTAAATCCACCATGGCCTCCCCTCACTCCTCACACCCAGCACACATGGGATGGGTGGTGTGGGGAAGCAGGGGGAGAATTAGAAATTAAAATGCTTTCAGGAAGTTTAATCATATTTTTCAGTTCAATCACAAATGTGGTGCTGGAGATCATTCCCTGTGGTGGTGATGGATTTCCACCATAGGTGGTTCCTCCAGCTTGTCTGATTCCCAGTGTGGCAGCAGGGCTGTGCCTGTGGAGCAGGACCCAGCCAAGTGTTAACAGATATCTGAGCTGTCTCCACACCACAGGGCCAAGTGAGCTTCAGGGCATGTCCACCTTTGATGTGCATCCCTTTGGAGAGGGATGGATCCTGCAGGCACTTCAAACAGAGCCTCCATTCCTTTGCCTTCTGTGCAAACTGTGATTAATGGGCAGAATGTCTGTCTCTCTTTTTTTCTCCCTAATCCAAATGAACTCTGGCAGCCCCTGATTAACCATTGCCCTTCCCATGGCTGTTCCCAGCGCTGGGATTGTGCTCTGCTCTGCTTTGCCACCACTGTCCACATCATCCACTGCTGCCACTCTATTAAAATTAAAACCTTGGTGGACCTCAAGATAGTCGTGGTTGACCCAAGCTGGCCACTGTTGACCTCCTTCTGGCTTCAGGCTCCTCATCAGGCACTGATGATGCTTTGCTGGCCACTGCTTTGCCCACGTCCCACCAGGAGAAAGCTCTGGGACCAAACAAACCATGCTTTATCGCCGAGACAAATCAAACTGTGCCTCTCCCACTCGCCGGGGCAGATCAGGGTTGGCTGATGGTGTAAAACTGGATTTTCTTGAGGCATCCCACAGCAAACCCCAGAAACGACCCCCAGGAGTGTGACAGGGGCTTTAGCATCACACTGCCATGGAGCTGCAGCAAGTGAGAGGGGATGACTGTGATGACAAATGACATAATTACGGCCAGGCTCCGCTGCAGCGAGTTCTGCTGCATTATTAAGAGCAACCAAAAATACTCCCAGCTTAGTCATGAGCTGGTCTGGGCCACGCAGTGAGAGGCTGCTGGGGCTGCCTCACCCCTGGGCTGGCAGAGGGGAAAGGGGGAGAGACTGAAATGCTTTGCAGCCATGTTTACTCATCCTTCATTCCTCATGGAAGAGGCCCCCGGGGGAGCGGAGCACCTCAGAGGCTTTGGGATGCTGACAGGGGAAAATGGCATTAGAATAACATTAATTGCCTTAGTGGAAGTGTAACAGCTTAGTCTAAGCCAGCAGAGCTGAAGCAAAGCAGAGGATCAGGGAAACCTGTGGGCGTAGCTTTGCTTCATGCCCAAGGTGGGATCTGGGAATCAGTTGGAAAATGGGCTTTGATGCGGAAGGTGCAAGAAGAAAGGCAGGGAGGTTGGGTGGGTTTCCCAAAGCCCAGGCTGAAAGCTCCCATGGTGTAAGATCTGCCCACTGGCGCTGTCATGAAGGCTCTGCTCAAAAGCCTGTGGACCAGAAGTCTCCAGAAATGTTGTTTGACACCTTCATTCATGCCCTGGCTGAGGGGGCAGGGTGCACCCTCAGATGACACCGACCCAGGAGGAGTGGCTGCCACCCCAGAGAGGTGCTGCCACCCTGAGGGACCTGGAAAGGCTGGAAACAAGGGCTGAGAGAGACCTGGGGAAGTTCAGCAAGGAGAAACACCAAGTGCTGCCCTGGGAAGGAACAGCCCCCAGCAGCAGAACACGCTGGGAGCAGCTTGGCAGAGATGGCCCAGGGGGTCCTGGTGGCCACCAAAGTGACCATGGGCCAGCAATGCACTGTCACAGCACAGGAGACCACCAGCCTCCTGAGCTGCACCAGGCAGAGCATCTCCAGAAGGTCAAGGGGCAGATCCTGACTGACACACCTTGGGGTGTTGTGTCCCACACTGGGCTCCACAGTAAAAGAGAGATGTGGACATGTTGGAGCGAGTTCGGTGAAGACTAAGGGCCTGGAGCATCCCTCTGATGAGGAGAGGCTGAGAGAGCTGGGATGGTTGAGCCTGGGCAGGAGATGGCTCAGGGAGATCTTACCCACTTGATGGAGATGGATAAGGGAGACAGGGTCAGGCTCCTCTCCAAAGTGCCAAGAGACAATGGGCAAAATGTAGGAAATTCTCCTTAAACAAAAGAAACCACTATTTTATTGGGAGGGTGGTCCAATGTGGGAAGAGGTTGCTCAGAGAGGTTGTGGAGTCTCCATCCTTGGAGATACTCAAAGCCCAACTAGACATGCCCTGGAGCAGCCTCTTCCCACTGGAGCAGGAGGTTGGAGAGGACTCCCAGAGGTGCCTCCAGACTTGGCAACTTGGTGTTTCTGAGACTACAAGCCCCCCATCAGACCCTCTTCCCATCCATGCCATGCCCTGGCTCTGCCCCCCGTGCTCCTCTCTGTGACATGGGACATGTCTGGATCCTGGCCAAGGTTTTTGGACACTTGACTGAGAGACAGGAACACCCATCATGATTTCCTCCAGCAGATCTCCCCAGATCAAATAACCCAGGTGGTTTATCAACTTCTTCATCTTCTCTCATGTTGTTTCTGTGTGAGTTTAGTTCCCAAAACATGACTTTGAATTAATTCTTTTATTTTTTTGTGAGTCAAAATGCTCTTTTTGTTGTTGTTATTGTTGTTGTTCAAGTCACCTGGGTCTTTCCATGTGGGTTTGTAGCAGACCCTGCCCTGCTATTTTAATTTTTGGGGCAGAAAGGTCTCACCAGCTGCTCCTGAAAGGATCCCAAAGCCTTGCAGCGCTCTGCTTCTCTACAGACCCCTGCCCTCCAAAAGCCCTAAGAAGAAAATGAGCAGAAAGAAGGACAAAGTGCCACTGGGTTTGGGTCCATAAGAAGTGGTTTGGACCCACTTTAGGTCCCAGCCCCACCAAGTGCTGAGGTGGCTGCACCAAAGCCCAGCTGGGCTTTTCCCTCCTGACCTGTCCCCAGGCAAAGTGCATTGGCTGATCAAAGTTTATTTGACAACTTCTACCTTCCCCTTGTCTTCCCTGCACACTTGAGAAGAGACACTACACCAACACTATGTTTTGGGTCTTTTGGTTCAACTAGTTTTATGTATTATGAAGAGAAACTCAAAGCAAAGTTCCATGAAGCAGTTCAAGACAAATTCATCATCCCTGGGAGTTGTCTCTTGTTAAACTTCCTGTCTGGTGGCCTGGACTCACAAATTCCAGGATGATTTGTTTGTTTCCTCTATTCCATCAATAAAATATAAACAAATAAAATATACTTATATATTAATAAATGTTTTTTATAAATATTATATATTAATAAAAGTAATAATGATATCAAATGCAAAACACATAAACGCAGATATATGTGAATCTATTTTATATAGAATATTTCATAATGTCATAGAAAACATAACTTAATATACAAATATATAGAAGTATAAATATAATAAAATATAATAACTCTTTTTTTTGTTTAATTAGAAACATTCACCTTTCAAAAAACCTGTCGTGGCAACGAGTGTTGCACTGAAATGCCATCGGTGCCCAGGCAGTGGGCACAGGCTCTGCCTGAGCTCACCCACAGAAGTGGGAATTTTCCGTTGGATTTAAACTTTGCAGCTCAAATTAATCCCCAGGGCTGTTTCTTTTCCTGTCGTTTGAGTGATTTCTTTGTATTGTTTGGCTGCCATGGAAAAAAAAGCCCAGTGTCAGTCACTGAGAGGCTGCTCACCCCCCTGCCAAAATCCCAGTCACCCCACGAGCAAAGTTCCCCACTTGCAGGCACCCAAGCCAAGAATTTAGAGCAATCCATGGGAAGAGCAGGGACGAGATGGGGTGGGACAGGATAAACAAGTGAGTCATGGTGACCTCCTGGCCTCAGGCTCCTGGCCCTGCTGTGGGTTGCCCCTCCAGCCACCACAACCCTCTCCCCCCCAGATCCCTTTGGGGAT